TTTTTTTTTTTTTTTTTTTTTTTTTTTTTAAGTTACAGAGTATTTTGAATAATTTTAAGTTATACATATATATTCCTTCATATATTTAGTTTTTTCATTATTAAATTCCTTAAATGTACTATCATTGTTATACATAGTTTTACACTAATAAAAGAAATTAACTATTGTAATTATTATTAATTTTTTATATTTTATTTAATGGAAGTAATACTCTTTATTAAGTTTTAAAAATAAATGTGTAGCTAAATAAATAATTATGAATATTCATTAATAAGAACATACTATACATTAGTAAGAGTATTTTATATTTAAAAATAATATTAAATCTCACAATTATAATTTATGTGAAGATTTCATAATTAAAAGTTTTTTTTTTTTTTTTTTTTAATTTAAAAGTTGATAAATTTTAAATTTATATATTTTATTTCTGTATCATAAGTTAAAGGAAGAGTTACATAAAATAATTCTCTTTAAATATTTTAAATACAATTTCGAAATATATTTATTAATATTTAAATTTTATATTTGTAAAAACAAAAAATTGAGAAGGAAATAATTTTTTTTCTTTATTTAAATGGATTATCTTTCACTTATTTATTTTCCGTTCATTTTTTATTTTGAGTGAAAATGTCTGAAGGATATATAAAGTTTGCTTTTTAATTTATAAATGAACTATTTTAAATTAATATATTATAAAATACATTCAAATAAAAAAAAGAAAAATCATCAAAATAAAAAAAAGAACAACAAAAAAAAAAAAAAAAAAAATGGTTGTAAACCTATTCAATAGTACAATCTGTTCTAGGTGTTATTATCATTTTCTTGTTCTTCAGATGATCTAAAATTAATAATATATAAGTATGTATATTTTTTATATTATTTTTTATTATTTTTTTTTTTTTTTTTTTTTTTTACATATCACTAGAAGGATCAACATAATTTTTTTTTGTGTTGTTTTCGTTCAATATGCTTTGTAAATTTAATCTATAACTTTTTCTTGTTTCATTGTTATTAGAAAGTACATTTCTTCCTATTTGTCTAATGTATCGTTATATTTATAGATTATTTACGTATAAAAAAAATAAAAAAATTATAAGTTTTTTATTTTTACAAATATTTATTTATACTTAGATATGAATTTATAAATTTCATATTTTAAAAAAATTCTATTTTTAATATTTTAAAATATATTTTATGTAATTTAATTTTATATGAATATATATAAATAGTAAATTTATTTACTTTTTTGTTTCATCTTTTTCTTTTTCCTCTTCTGAATTATAATTCTAAGAAATTAATACAAGTAATAAAGGAAAAAAAAAAAAAAATTGATAAAAAGTATTTTTTAGTAAAAACATTTTATATACAACATAAAAATATGACAAAAACCTCATTTAATGTTTTTATTTGAATCCATCTCTCGAATAAATTTTCATTATCTTTTTTCTAAAAAATAAAAAAAGGTAATTATGTAACAAAATATGTAAATACTTATTAACTTCTACTACACACTTTTATCCACTTCACATTGTATTTCATATTTTTTTTTTTTGAATATTTAAATTTATTATTTTTTCTTTTATCCATAAAATGAAGATTCCATGCTTTATGTTTTATAACTGAATCTTCATTTAAATAATCATCCATTTTTTTCTTTTTATTTATTATTTTATTAAAATTATTTTCTATAAAATTTATATATTTTTCATTCGATTATATTGAAATATATTCATTAATTATGCAATAACAATTATAAAAAAGAGTCTAATTCTTTGTCTTTTATATTAAATTCTTAATATTTTTGTTAATTTCTTTTATTATAATAGTATCCTTTAATATAAAAAGTAGAATAAATTAATATATTTATGTAATATTAATTCTTCTATAATTTTTAACATTTTTAAATACTTTGGTTTTTTTTTTTTTTTTTTTTTTTTTTTTTCNNNNGAAAAAAAAAAAAAAAAAAAAAAAAAAAAAAAGTAATATAAATTAAATATAAAGGAACTAATGTTATTACTATTTTTCTTTATAGAAAAATACAAATTATTTGTATAAACAAAATTTTCGGTAGTTTTTAAATCACAACTGATTTTGTTCTAAATAAAAACGTGGCTACCTTTTTTCTTATAAAATGACCAATTTTTTTAAAAAATTCATAAATATTTTAAAAAAGAAAAAAGAAGTTATACAAGTCTTAATTTTCCTGTAAAATATTTAAAATTGATATATAATAACATTTAAAATATATTTATATGTCTTCTCTTTTTTTTTTTTTTATTTTAAACGAACAAATTTTTTATTTTAAGAATAATTTTTTCTTTAACTCGAAACCTTTTAAATATATTCTTTTTTTTTTTTTTTTTTATGAATTTTAATAAAATGAGAAAGCACAAAAAAAAAATTTTTTTTACAAATAATATATATATTTTTTTTATTTCAAGCAATTAATAAAAAAAAAAAAATAACATTTTTATATTTATATATTTTTAAATGTTATAAAGATAACTATAAATGATTCTAATGTTGTTATAGTTAATTTTACCCAAAATATAAAAAATGATAAAATGATTTCAAAAAATGTAGAAATATTAAAGAAAAATAAATTTCTTGTAAATTTTAAGTATCTTGGAAAATATAGTACTAATAATATAAAAGAAAATAATTTTAAAAAAAATAAAAGTTTTGAAGAAAAATGGAAATATATTATTAGAAATGATTATATAAGTAAAATAATAAATATTTTTGAAAATAATAATAAAAATGAGATTGAAAAATATAATTGTTGCCATTTTATTATTGGTGGAGAAGGAGTAGGAAAAAAATTTTTTATAGAAAAATCAAAAGAAAAATTTTTAAATGATAAAAAAGAAAAAAAAAAAAAATACATATTTTTTGAATATGATTTCAAATTAATAAAAGATATTTCGTTCAACCTAAAATTACATTCTCTAGAATCATTTTTAAGATATAAACTATTAAAAGAATTAAACAATGATATTGAAAACAAAAAAATAAAATTAAAAGATTTATATAATTATCTAGTAGATCAAGAAAATGGAATTCTTTTATCTAAGATGAATTCATTCTTTAAATATATTTTAAATAACCCTCAAATGTTTGATTATTTGAATGATCAAGATAGAGAAGAAATACAAAATTTCCTTATTTTATTGGAAAAAAATAAATTTTTTTTTGAAAATTGGAATCATTTTATAAAAATACTATTACGAAAATTAAATGTAAAATGTTTTTGTAGTTATTTAAATGAATTCAGTTCATCCTTATATTTTTTTAAAATGATGGCAGAATATGAAGAATATAACCATTATTCTAATAATTCTAAAAATGTGTTAACTAACTATTCTAACGGATTATATGTATATAAATATTTTTTATCAATTTTAAAATTTTTAGAAGTGAAATATTCTTACAATTTTTATTTTATTTTTATTAATTTTAATTTATCTTTGTTATGTAGTCAACCAGTTAGAAATTTCAATTTTTTTGTCAATCTTATAAATGAAAATATAGAAAAAATATATAATTTACCAGTAATAATTCATTCTGTTAAAAATTTAGAAATAATGAAATTTATATTTATTTATAATAATATAATAATGAAATATTATTTTGAAAATAAGGAAAAGATAAATTATAATTATTATAATAATTTAAATGAAAACGAATTAGAAAATTATGAATTGATAAAAAATAATTTAATAGAAATAAATGATTTTTCCTATGATATGGTTAAATGTCTTATGGTTCCGATTTTTACAAAAAATGAAGAAATTAGCAAATGTGTTTATAATATAGTTGGTGGAAATGTAAACTTAATTAAAATGATTTGTAAAGGATTGCATAAACTGAATGAAGAATTTAATGAATTAAAGATAATAAATGAAATTGAAAATGAAAAAAAAAAAAACGTTACATATGATATTGACGAAGAAGAATTAGATTGTAAAAATTCAGTAGAAGAAATTGTTCAATATAAAAAATCAGAAAAGGAAAAATTACTTCTAAAAAATATTTCTCAAAACATTTTGCATAATTTTATTTTAGATTTTGAACATAAAATAATACAATTTTTAAGTTTACCTAATATAGAAAAAATGAAAACGGATAACATACAAGAAAAAAGAAAAGGATTAACTTGTGTAGAATTTTACTTCACTATTTTTGAAGTTATCAGATATTTTCTAAAAAAGCAAAAAGTGTTTTGTAAGAATATTATAAATTTAAATAATCCTATTCTTTTAGGTTTAATAGATGTTAATATAATACATTATAACTATGAAAATAAATATTTAGAATTAACCAATAAGTTTTATGAAGTATTATTATTAAATTATATTGATTTAAAATATAAACAGTTCCCATTTAAAATTAAAGCACAATATAATATTAATTATATGTTGAATTACAAAACTATTGAACAAGAATACAAATTGTTAGAAACACAAGTATAATTATTTATTTTAAAATGAACATAAAATAGCAATTGAGAATTTTTATTTTTTTTTTTTATTATTATTTTTATTATTTTTTTTAAGTATCTATAATCTTTTTTTTTTTTTTTTTTTTTTTTTTAATGCATACATTTATTTCATTTTTGTATTATATATTTTTTTTATTTCATAGAGCTTTATTATTACTTTTTATAAATTCCTTCTAATAAAAGTACTCTTTTTTTCAAATTATTTTTTAATGTTGTTTATAATTTTTAACACTTTTTAACGAAATATTAAAAATATTTATCTTTTTTATTTTATTTTATTTTTTCAACAAATAAAAATAAATTTTGTGTATTTTTCAAAAAAAAAATGTTCTATATTATTATTCTGTTTTATTTTTTTCTACTAATAATTAATAAATTTTTTTTATAATCTTGTCTTATTAATAAGATATACTCTTGTATAAAAAACGAAAAAATAAACTTTAAAAATATATGTCCATAATAAAAAAAAAAAAAAAAAAAATACAATAAGTAAATATAATTTCCTTAAAATTTTTTTTTTAATAAAAAATATAAATGTAATTTTCTGTATAATTTGTTTTTTAATTAAATGAATAAAAGTAATTTTTTATATAATCTATTCTTCTTCTATGAAATGAGGAAAACTGACTGCCTCTTCAATATCTTCTCTATATAAAGAAATATATAAAATTTTAGTAAATAATAAATATATATATTTAAATTTTTTTCTTTTAAAATATTAAAAACATATATAAATAAATTTTTTTTTTTTTTTTTTTTTTATTTTCTATCTTATTACTTAGGATTTATCCATTCTAGTATTTGGCAATATAAATAGCTAACAATAATTATAAAAATGTATATTTTGCCTAATATAAAAGAAAATTAAAAATGTATAGAATAAATTAATAAAACGAAAAAAGTTCCTTTTTTTTTTTTTTTTTTTTTTTTAATTTATTACTAAAAACCCTGCTAATGCCATAAATTTTTTGTATCCTACTTAAAAGTGTTGGATTTGGATGAGATAAAACTTTCATGTAAACTTTTTCCTGAAATTATAAATTTTATTAGAATAAATAAAATAAAATTAAAATGTATAAAATAAATATAAATTAATTTTTTTTTTTAAGAAAACTTTTATCTTATAGAAATTATTATTATTATTTTATTTTTTTTTTTTTTTTTTTTATTCTCTTTTATACTGTTTTTTCAGCAACTTTTTCCCAAGAATACATTTTAGTTAACTGAAAAAAAAAAAAAAAAAAAAAAAAAAAAAAA